TGACTCGATAGAGAGTGAAAGACTCGATAAAAGCCTACAAAACAAGAGTTAGAATGCGCCAAAAACGCATTATATCATTAGCATACTATACAAATATTTTAATTATTATGTAGTTTATTATACATATAAAACTACACTTATAAATATTTATACATTTCATTATTGGAAAATATATATTGTTTTTGTTTGTTATGTTCGACAAATATATAGATTATTCGCATAATCTATACTTTACACGAATAATAAAAATCAATTTTACACTTAATATATTGAAATAAATAACATTTGCATATGTTTTGATCAATTTTGCACATAAAAATTTAAAAATATTGACATCAAAATATGATTGATCAAACTTTAGTTTTATTACATTTTTACACAATACATATCATTTTTATATGTTTATTATAAATATTATAAATCATATGCTTTGTCATACACGTTTAAATATTAAAGTCGATTATAAAATATATTTAATCATTTAATCCCATGTCTGGCCTGAATCAAAATATAGATTCAATAAGTAACTAGAAATCATTAACATTAAACAAATAACACCAAAGTTTGACAAAAATATCGATAATTCAGTAACACATAATTTTGTCTGGATTTTCAAATCAGTTAGCTAATGATTTCCTTACAGAAAAACTATTTTAATGTAGGTAAAAACATATAGTTGAATGTTCGTTAGTTTTGATCTTACCTTCCACAAGGATGAATATTCAAAACTTTCATGTTAAACATACACTATATGAATGATATTCATCCCTAATAAGTTAATTGTGCCAGGTATCCTTTTGATGTCTATGATCGTAATTGGTATACAGAGGTAGGCTTTGACTGGGCACAAATAAACACTAGCCAATATATAAGTAATTCCGATGCATATTCAATACCACAACCTGTAATTTCAAAGGCTGTGACACCCAAAACTTCCACTACGCCACTGACCAAGAGCTGGTTATTGCGAAAACCGTATTACCAAGTTGATGCGTACCTTCACTTTGCTGAGATTCAAACCCTCAAGCCCAATGATACGAGAGTATTTAATATTTTATGTAATGAGCATACTTATTACCCGGAATATAGACCTCTAGATCGGACGGTAGAGACTGTACCTATGAAATCTATAAACATGTGTGGAAGTCGTATTTGCGCATTGGAGTTGGCTCTCGTAAAGGCTAACTGGTCAACTCTTCCACCTCTGCTTAATGCCATTGAGGCTTTTGGGGTAATCCAACTTCCTCATTCTGAAACGGATGAAAATGACAGTATGTAACCTCGTCTAACATATATTCCTTGTTTCCAGTATTGATAATCTTCTTTTATTGTTGACAACCGCCAACTTTGTACGTGCAGTCATTGCAATCAAAAAAATCCAAGCTACTTATAGATTACACAAAATCAATTGGCAAGGGGATCCATGCGCTCCTGTACTGTGCAAGTGGGATGGTCTAAACTGCAACAACACTAATCTATCTACTCCGCCAAGAATCATTTCTTTGTAAGATCATTCGAAAAAACAAAAATCTTTCACAAACCTTTGTTGAATGTGTATGTGACCTGAAATATATATGTCCTCTCGTGTTCGACCAGAGATTTGTCTTCAAGTGGATTACTTGGAACCATATCAGTTGACATTGTAAACCTAAGCCAGCTATAGAAATTGTAAGTCTCACGTCACCTTTATGTTCACTACACTTCAAGAGGATGATGAAGAATTAAACTGTACTTATGTTTTGTAATAAGTGCTATACTAAAAAGCCAA